AGGGTAACTAGAACTTTTGAAAAACAAGTCACATGGTGCCTCTATTGTCACTTATTAATCTACATTAGGTTGGCTTGGAAAAGCTGATCTAAAGGATGGAAGAAATGGGTCTTGCAAAGTCAGCTGTAAGAATCCCTTGGGGGGGGGGGGGGGGGGGGGGTGTGGTCCAACCAGAGCCAGCCAAACATAGGACTGTCACCCATTGCAGCCTGGGCTTATCTGCTGGGACACCAGTTGTGGCCTGAGACCTGCAACCTATTATCTAGTGGGATTTATAGACAGGTGCTGATCTCCTACTCAAGCCACTTCTAGTAAACATTACCCAATTGGTATGGCTAAAAACCACTTCAAAAAACAAAACCCTTCAATATAGCTCAAATAAAATCCCCAACTTTATTAACTGTGCCTTTCACTAACATACCCAGCAAGTCCGTGGTGGATTTTTGGAGAGGTAGCTGGAAAAGCAACTATTTGCACTTTTAACCACTTGTTGTTCATTTTTTTTTTTTTTTTTTTTTATAGGATTCTCTTCTACAGCTGGGCTGATCTCCATGGCAGCTGCCATTGCACTGGCCTTCATTACTCTGGGGATACTTGTATGCAGAAGATGCAGCCGTTCTAGTGCCTGAGCAGTCACCTGCCTTGTACCTTCTGTTTAATGTAAATAAATTCAGTGAATTGAGTCTGCTCCATGACTTATTCTTAATGGGCAAAGGAGATGCCTTCCCTTCTGTGGGGAAGGAAATGGTGTGGTGGTTGCACCATACCACATCATGGACACACCAATGGGCTACACAAGGAGAGATCATGTGAGGGTGAAGAGAGCAGAGCTTCCTGCCTTCAGGTTCCAAGAGTTGAATGGCTGGTATCTCTCATAGGCAAATAGCAGGGGATTTCCCTCCTTCTGAACTGTCCAGCTGAAATCATTACAGGGCTCTAGCAGTAGAGAGAACACACATTTCCCCCAGCCCCTGTGCCCTCTGAGTGAAACAGACTCCATGACTGGCTTTAGGTGATGCTCTAGGACAGTAGTTCTCAAACTTCATTGTACCACAACCCCCTTCTGATGACAATTACTGTCCCAGCCCAGGGGGTCAAACCCTAAGGGCCTCAGCCCTGGGGATGGGGGGACTGAAGCCCTTGGGCTTTGGCCCTGGGCAGTAGGGCTCAGTCTGTGGCTTCAGCCCCAGCCAGTCTACCACAGCTCTAGCAACCCCATTAAAATGAGGTCATGACCTACTTGGGGTCCTAACCCACAGTTTGAGAACTGCTGCTCTAGGATAACTTCCCCCTGATCCTTGTGTGTAAGGTGAGCAGGCTCGCCAAGTTCTTCTCACCATGGACTGAAATTACCTCCTCAGGGGCAGTACCAGGGACTCCTAGGGGCCCCGCTGGCAGTGACACCAAGGTGACCATACTAGGCCCCCTAGCTGGGATGGGTGCGGCCCTTGGCCTGTTGTGAGAGTCTGGAGGGTGGTATCCTGTGATGCTGCTGCTGGTCTTGATCATTGGCTAGTTTGGGCAGAGGCTGGTGCTGTGGGGATAGGGTGCACTGCCATGTAGGGGCAGGGTTCTGATTCTGGAAACAGCACAGTGAAGTCTGGGTAAGCAATGCTAGTTGCGCCTGTGCAGTGTGACTGCATGCAGGAACATGGTGCTCATCAAGGAGTTTTGAGTCAGGGGTTGGGGATCACTGGGTGGGCAGAGCAGGCCCCCAACCCTGCTCCCCAGCAAGAGCTCAAGGCCTGGATTAAAAGGTCTGATGGGCCGGATGTGGCCTGCAGGCCTTTGTTTGCCCACCCCGGTCTAAGAAAATCTTCTAGTTTCTGCTCGTGCTCTGGGCCATGACCTGCAGATCAGTGAGGCCTGCTCCAAACTGATCATGCAGCTGGGGTGACTCTGCTCAAACTGAAGTCTAAAGGGCTCTACTATCTTGATCTCTCTACCACTGTAGAGAACACATCCCACCCTGCTATGTGACAGGACATCATTTGTTCAAATAACCTCTCTCCTATAACTGTCTGGGGAGCAGATCTCACCCAGGGCTGCACAAACAAGACATGCTATCAGCAAGCCCAGGGACAGCATAGGGAGCAGCATGGTGTATGTTCCCAGAACTAGCTCTCTGCAGCAGTGGTTATTCAGCCTTTCTGCCATATGATGCTGTAGTGGGGCATTGAAGCTGGTGGGGAAGGAGCAGCCCCTTTTTCCTCAACCAAATGTAGCACTCTCAGAGCAATGGCCCTTGTAGGCTTGCTGTGCACCTAGACTTGGAAGGGACTCTGAGCTATAAAGGTAGTGATGGGGGCTGATTAATGTCAGCACCTTGCACACAGTATAAAAATGCCCCTAACAGCACCCCTGGGTGGTAGGGGAGTGCTGACCGCCTTTCACACAAGCGGGGAAAAGACTAACATGCAGGATGATTACATGAGATTGCCCAGGATGGCTTTGGCACAGTGTGGAACTTAACCTTGGTCTCTTGCGTGCCAAGGTGGTGTTTCAACCATCAGACCACTTCTCTCAATGCTTTTCAGCCCATATTCCCATGGCCCCTCTGTTCTTGTCCCCTCTCTGACTAGCCGAGATCCAGCTCCCATGCCGTAGGTACATTTCCCCTGCCTCTGGCACAATTCCAGCCCTTCCACCAAAATCTGGGTCCTCCAGTTGGGAAGCTCCAAGGCCCTGACATCCCTCGAATCCACCTTGTTCCTCTGCACTCAACTTGTTTCTCTCCCTCCCAAATGTTGTTGGCTGTATCTAGACAAACAGCAGGAATCATTACTGTCCTCATTTCATGGAGGAGACTCTGAGGTTCAGTGTGGCTAAGTCAAAATTAGTGACCAGTTACAAACCCAGGAAGGGTAACCAACCACATTACCTCCATGCATTCATTTCAGACAGCAGCACGGCTGCGACTGAGGTCATCTGGAGAGACCTGGGTTTTATTCCTAGCTTTCCCAGGAGGAACATGATGTAACCTCTCAGGTAGCTTAGCTCTAAGATGCTGGAGCATGAGAGCTGCCTTGCACCAGTATAGGGCTATGAAGCCTTGATCAGTTATTAGCACTGTAGGTACAAATACATATTAAGAGCCAGCAGTGGAATGGAACAGTTGCATGCCATCCCATGGGCTCCCCACAGGTATGGTGTTGAGAACAGGTGTCTGTCTCTCTCTGGGCACACTGTCATTCTATGCAGGGCACGCAGCAGTCCCATTGGTTGCTCCATCAAACCAGAAATAAACCTGAATAACTTCATATGGACTAGCTTTTGGAGCTTGCCCTTGATGCAGGCCACTAGATTGCCGCAGGGGTACCTATGACCCAAGAACCTCATGATGCCAACTGGCAGAGGGCACTGGGAGACACAGGGGCACAGGGACCCCCTGGGTTCACCAAGAGAACGTCATGTAAGGTCTCTAATGAAACCCCGGGTCACACTGGTCATCATAACCATTGTGAGATGTAGGTATGGGACATATGCAAGGAGCACTGAAAATTAGGCTCTGTGGGCCATGTAGATAAAGCAGGCCTCTCAAAGGTAGTGGGTCTTGAGACAAAGTCCTGCAGACAGGAGTGGTGGGTGATGCTTATCTCCATGATGACCATTGTGTATTATATGCCATACAACATCTAAGTCAAATGCTAATGAGGAGCTGGCAGAGACTTTAGAAAGAAACTAAGAGGAAGAAGTCAATATTGGAGGGGGAACCCTAGCTAGAGGCAAACATCAAAGGTGCATTCTGGTATATTTGAAGGGCAAAAAGACACCTTGACATCAAGTGCCTAGGAAGTAAACTGACAGCGAGTTGGCATTATGAAAAAGGGGTCACAGCCACGCTTGGCTGAAAATGCTGGAGGGAACTTGGATGACGACACTTTTCTAGACTGGAGAATAAATCTCCTTTTGCTTTAGAATTGAGCTGAAGTGCTGTGTGTGATACAAGAGCAGTGAGCTAAGGCCAAACTGGTAAACAAGGGTGCGCTGTTCCTTTGGGTATCTGTGGATATCCAGTGATCGGGGCTGAACCCCACAGGGGGCCACTTTGAAGGGACTTGAAGCCCGGGGTGCATTGCTTGTCAACCTGCAAGGCAAAAGACAGGGCTGGGCTAGCCCAGAGAAGAATGCTGTAGGGGCTGAGGGGCTGGTTGCATTGGGGAGCTAACACAGGCAAGGCTCCCTCATACTGGAGACAGGTGGCAACTAGGTGACGCACAGCCCTGGCTGCCCTGAGAAGTGTGTCAGTCCCTGTCCCAGGAATCTCAGTTTCACATGGATTTTCCCCCCAGGACAGACCCTCTCTTGGCTTTGAAAAACAAACCTCATGGATTGCTCTGGGCTTAGGTGGGAGATAGGTGCCCAGACTCTTAGAGGGAGGCAGCTGTGCACGTGCCCAGAGGCTGAAACATGGGCACCTAAGGAACTTTATACTGTAAAAACTTAGGTGCTGCTGAGTGAATTTAGGCACGTATGGAGTTAGATATACCTATCTCATAGAACTGGAAGGGACCCTGAAAGGTCATTGAGTCCAGTCCCCTGCCTTCACTAGCAGGACTGATTTTGCCCCAGATCCCTAAGTGGCCCCCTCAAGGATTGAGCTCACAACCCTGGGTTTAACAGGCCAATACTCAAACCACTGAGTGTGGTTTGCTAATCACGGTGGAACCAAACCCAGGATTTACAGGTCTAAATCTGGGATTGAGGGTCCTGGGTCCCTTTGTGGTGGAGCCCACCCTTAGCCTTCCATTGAATGAAACAGGGCAGGAATTTCCTAAACTGCAGCTGATGAACTGACCAACAGGTGGGGCTGATTCCCATTGGTCCTCCTATTTCCCTGGTCCACAGTGTGGGCAGTGGGTGTGATTGGGCCCCAGCTGACTGCAGATTAGGGGAGGGTGTTAATTACCTGGGTCAGCTGTCACCTGGCTCTAGGTCAGGGTATAAAGGCCCCAGAGCAGCAGTTTCCCTCTATACTGGGTTTGCTGCAAGCAGGCAGGATGGGACAAAGAAGCAGCCTGGGCTTTGCTCTCCTGTGCTGGGTGGTCAGTGGGGTGACTGGTTACAATCCCTGGGATTTCTCTAGGAGAGACTCAGCCATGTGGAGACCCACCCCCAGGGCTGAGCCCCCTCGCAGAAGAGCCCATGTGCCCTCTCTTGCCCAGCCCTACCCCTGGGCTCGGGTTGATTCTTCCCAGCTCAGGGCTGTGTCCCTGCTGCAGCCTGTCACAGTGCAGTGTGAGGAGGCTCAGATGGTGATCACTGTGCACAGGGATCTGTTTGGGACGGGGCGACTGATCAAAGCTTCTGACCTGAGCCTTGGCCCGGCCACCTGCCAGTACAGGTCCCTTAATGCTGCAGAGAACACAGTGACTTTTACAGCTGGGCTCCATGAATGTGGCAGCACCTTGCAGGTAAGGATTCATGCACACCAGGAGCCCCTACTGATCCCTAGCATCACTGCCCCTGTCTTGTCTGATGGGGTTAAAATGGGGTGGGGGAGAAAACAGTGGGTGGCATTTTGTTCCTGTCATTGACAAGCTCCCTGTTTTTCCTGGGTTCTTCTTCCTAGCCTCCAATCTCATGCACCAGTCATAGACTTCTGCCCAGCTTGGCTCCTAAAGCAGGCTCATGAGTGAAGCCTGAAGCGGGTGGTCTGGTGGCTCAGACAGACTTTACTTCTGGACACCCCTGTTGAAAGCTTGTCTGGAGACTCTACAGACAGGACCACTCAACTGAATACATTGGTTGGTGTTAGCCTGAGCTCCACATAAGCTGTAGGAGGGAAAGGGACAGACAATTGGCTTCCTTAAATCCCTGGTCAAAATTCACCTAAAGAAGCTAATAGGTTAAACCTGGGGGTTTTACTGTCTGATATTCCTTCACAACCTGCACAGAGGAACCTAGTGAGGTAGAGCTGTGTAAAATGGCACTACAGTGGCTCTAGTATTCCTAAGGCTGTTCTAGCAGACTGAGCTCTGCAATCCTCCTGCTTCTAGTGTCCAGCCCTTCCAAAGGCAGTTGCCAGTTGACGGGGCACTTGTTTGAAGACTTGAGCTCTTGTTTCCATCTGGCTGAGGCTTGTTCTTGGGCTTATCTTAAGTAACTTTCAAATGCCATGTAGTCTAGTGTTAACCCTTCCATGTCTGGTTCTTCCCAGATGACCCCAGACTCCCTTGTTTACAGCACAAGCCTGAACTATAACCCCACCCCTGCCAGCAACCCAGTGATCCTGAGAACCAATCCAGCTGTGATTCCCATTGAGTGTCACTATCCCAGGTGAGCGACTGAGATACTCAGATCCCTCCCTCCCATTCAGTCCCTCTTGTGGGATCTGGTTCAGTGACTGAGGTTTGCTCCTCTCACAGGAAGGACAATGTGAGCAGTAAAGCCATCAAGCCCACATGGGTTCCCTTCAGTTCCACCCTGTCTGCTGAGGAGAGGCTGGGTTTCTCCCTGCACCTGATGAATGGTAAGTGGGTGGGAGGAGCCTTCAGGAGAGCCAAGTCCAGCCCTGCCTGTCTGTCCTGCTCACTGTGAACTTGCCTTCCAGATGACTGGAGTGCTGAGAGACCCTCCAATGGATTCCAGCTGGGGGAGGTCATGCATATCCAAGCTGATGTCCACACTGGGAACCATGTGGCTCTGAGGCTCTTTGTGGACAGCTGTGTGGCCACCCTGACCCCAGACAGGGACTCCTCTCCCCGCTATGCTGTCATTGACTTCAATGGGTAAGAGCTGGGAGCCCTTTCTAGTCTAAAACAAGACTGATCAGGGACTCTCACTGACCCTTGACTCTTGTGTCTAGATGCCTGGTGGATGGGAGATCAGATGACACCACCTCAGCCTTCATATCCCCCAGGCCAAGGCAGGACACACTGCAGTTCATGGTGGATGTGTTCAGGTTTGCAGGAGATGCCAGCAACTTGGTGAGCTCCCAGATTTCTGCTCCAAGTTGACTTCCCCTGAGGCTAAGCAGGTGTTAGTGTCCCCTGGGATGGTCCTAACCCCTCTTCCCACTTCCCCTCCAGATCTACATCACCTGCCATCTGAAAGTCACTGCAGCTGAGCAAGCCCCAGATCCCTTGAACAAGGCTTGTTCCTTCAACAAAGCAGGCAACATGTGAGTAGACTAGAACCCCACCAGGGGAGTGATAGGCAGCCTAGAACAGAACACTTCACTGTAGATTGTTCCTGTTCTGTTGCAGCTGGTCTCCAGTGGAAGGCACCAGAGACATCTGCAGGTGCTGTGAGACTGGGAACTGTGGGCTGGCTGGACAGTCTGGGAGAGTCAGGCCTCTGGACAGATGGCCAGGGAGGCGCTTCCAGAGAGATGTGGCCTCCAGGCATGGTAGGTTCTGCGCCCACTTCACCTGGGAAGACGTCTGGCTTACTCCAACAGACTGTTCCTAGGGGATCTTCCACCCAAAATGGGATGGATGAGACTAACCTGACATGTATTGGTGCTCTAGCAGTGCTTCTTTTCCCCAATACAGGTGACCCCTTCGTGAGGGAAGCTGAGGCTGATGTTGTGGTAGGACCCCTATTCATCTTCGATGCTTATCGAGGATCCAGGGATGTCTCAACTGATCAAATGGAAGCAGAGAACTCCGCCTCAGAGGGTAACTAGTTCTACTGAACAAGTCACATGGTGCCTCTATTGTCACTTACTAATCTACATTAGGTTGGCTTGGAAAAGTTGATCTAAAGGATGGAAGAAATGGGTCTTGCAAATTCAGCTGTAAGAATCCCTTAGTCCAAGGAGGGGGTGTTGAGATGGTCCAACCAGAGCCAGTCAAACATTGCAGCCTGGGCTCATCTGCTGGGAAACCAGTTGTGCCTGAGACCTGCAACCACTTCAAAAAACACAACCCTTCAATATAGCTCAAATATATTCTCTGTCCCCCCACCACCACCACTTTATTAACTGTGGCCTTCACTAATGTACCCAGCAAGTCCGTGGTGGATTTTTGGAGAGGTAGCTGGAAAAGCAACTACTTGCCGTTTTAACAATGTGTTCTTCCTCTTGTAGGATTCTCTTCTACAGCTGGGCTGATCTCTGTGGCAGCTGCCATTGCACTGGCCTTCATTACTCTGGGGATATTTGTATACAGAAGATGCAGCCGTTCTAGTGCCTGAGCAGTCACCTGTCTTGTACCTTCTGTCTAATGTAAATAAATTCAGTAAATTGAGTCTGGTCCATGACTTATTCTTAAGGGGCAAGGGAGATGCCTTCCCTTCTGTGGGGAAGGAAATGGTGTGGTTGATGCACCAACCACATCATGGACACACCAATGGGCTCCACAAGGAGAGATCATGTGAGGGTGAAGAAAGCAGAGCTTGCTACCTTCAGGTTCCAAGAGTCAAATGGCTGGCATCTCTCATAAGCAAATGGCAGGGGCATTTCCCTCCTTCTGACCTGGCAGCTGTACCCATTACAGGGCTCTAGCACTAGAGAGAACACACATTTTCCCTAGCCACTGTGCCCTCTGAGTGAAACAGACTCAATGAGAGTTCCTCCTGATTCCATTACTAGACTTGGGTGATGCTCTAGGATAACTTCCCCCTGATACTTCTGTTTAAAGTGAGAAGCCAAGTTCTTCTTACCATAGACTGAAATCACCTCTGCTGTGAATTCTTTGGGCTTAAGTTAGATATGGTGGTGTAGGCCACCCTTCTACTGGTACCACAGGGCCTAGGCAAAGATGGTCTAAAAAAATCTTCCAGTTTCTGCTCATGCTCTGGGGCATGACCTTTAGATCAATGAACCCTGTTCCACACTGATCATACACCCAGGGCAGCCTCTACTCAAACCCAAGTCTAAAGGGCTTTGCTCTCTGTACCACTGTATAGAACATATCCCACCCTCCTGCATGACAGCATGTTGTTTGAACAAACATCTCTCCTGTAGCTGTGTGTGGATCAGATCTGGCCACTAGATTGTCACAGGGGTACCTGTGACCCAAGAACCTCATGATGCCAACTGGCAGAGGGCACTGGGAGACACAGGGGCACAGGGACCTCCTGGGTTCACCAAGAGAACATCATGTAAGTTCTCTAATGAAACCCCGGGTCACACTGGTCATCATAACCATTGTGAGATGTAGGTATGGGACATATGCAAGGAGCACTGAAAATTAGGCTCTGTGGGCCATGTAGATAAAGCAGGCCTCTCAAAGGTAGTGGGTCTTGAGACTGTCCTGCAGACAGGAGTGGTGGGCGATGCTTATCTCCATGGTGGACCATTGTGTGTTGTATGTCATACAACGTCTAAGTCAAATGCTAATGAGGAGCTGGCAGAGACTTCAGAAAGAAACTAAAAGGAAGAAGTCAACATTGGAGGGGGAATCCTAGCTATAGGTAAACATCAAAGGGACATTCTGGTATATTTGAGGGGCAAAAAGAGACCCCAACATATCAGGTGCCTAGGAAGTAAACTGACAGCGAGTTGGCGTCATGAAAAAGGGGTCTCGCCACGCTTGGCTGAAAATGTTGGAGGGAACTTGGGTGAAAGACACTTTTCTAGACTGGAGGATAACTTGTTAGTTAAGTGTAGGCTCTGGAATGTGAGTTATGATTTTGTTTCATAGCTAGCCATTTGTTTCCAGCTCTCACACAGGTTTCTATTTGACTCTCTGTTCTGTCTTTTGCTTTAGAATTGAGCTGAAGTGCTGTGTGTGATACAAGAGCGGTGAGCTAAGGCCATACTGGTAAATGGGGATGCGCTGTTCCTCTGGAAACAGAGGATCTGGGATTTCTGTGGGTATTCAGTGATCGGGGCTGGACTCCACAGGGGGCCACTTTGAAGGGACTTGAAGCCTGGGGTGCATTGATTGTCAACCTGCAAGGCAAAAGACAGGGCTGGGCTAGCCCAGAGAAGAATGCTTGAGGGGCTGAGGGGCTGGTTGCATTGGGGAGTTAACACCCAGCTGGCACAGGCAAGGATCCCTCATACCTGAGGCAGCCTAAGGGGAGGATCCACAAGGTCCGGGATCTCAAGTAATTACAGGGGACAACTAAAGATATAACAGGGATGGGTGTGAGGTCACAGGGCTAAATGAAGGGAACCTGATGGGGACACCGAGCAGAGAACCCCGGACAGCGCCCACTGCTCCTCGAAAGTGTCAAGGAGCCAGCGGACGCCGCTCAGAGGAACTCTGCCCGGATACATGAGCGGACAGAGGATTGGAAATAAACCCTACAGTACCAGGAAACCCCGTCAGCCAACCTCCTCTCTCTGGTCTTGTAGATGGCCATTTTGGCCAGCGCTAGGAGGAGGCTGACAAGGAATTCCCGCGACTTTGTGGGGCCACAGATAGGGAGTGCATAGATAAAGAGGTGAGGGGAAAAGTGCAGCCAAAAATGCAATAGGATATCTAAGAGGAGCCGGAATAGGGGCTGCAACCTGGAGCACTCCAGTTACACGTGTGCCAGGGTCTCCCTCATGCCGCAAAAGGGGCAGGTGTCCAGGAGGGGGGCGAACTGCGCCAAGAACATGCCTATGCTCACGGCTCCATGAAGGAGCCGCCAACTGACATCCCCAGCAGGCCTCGGGACCAGGGTGGAGTATAGGCTGGCCCACCGGGGTTCCTCACCCTTCAAAGGTGGTAGGAGGTCTTGCCACTTCATGTCAGAGCGGGACACAAAGGTGAGGATGTGAAGAGTGTGGAGCACGAGCATGTACAGATATTTCCTCGACGCGGTCTGGAAGTGAACAGGCTGCAAGTTGTGCAGCCGGCTCTCGGTGAAGGGGTGGGATGGCCGGGTAGGTCCACGGGGCAGAGGCCTAGGGAAAAGGTCTGGAGGACCTGGGGTGTAGGGTGGGCGGGGAGCGCCCTCCTGCAGGACCCTGTCGAGATAAGCCCGAGCAGTGGGCGGTAGAGCAGCCCTCACCTCCTGAAGTACGCACCGGGGAGTATGAGGGCTAGAGAGCCCCACGCGCTGGGTGAGCATCAGGGGATCCAGACAGTCTCCCCAGTCACAGTACAGGAGGTCTCCGACTCTGGTGACTTCTGCCAGGACCAGCCTCTGTCGCACCGAGGGGGACTCTGCCACCTGCACATGGAGCTGGGGGTCGTGTAGCAGGGGCACTGTGAGGAGATCCGCCCGCTCGGTGGCCGCCATGGACCTAGTCACCGAGACCAGTTTCCAGGTCTAGAGGAGGTCCTAGTAGAAGACCGGCAGCCCAGAGAGGTCTCACGGAAGACCTCTCAGATGGAGATAAAGGAGCTGCTGGTCATATTGGAGCCCTCGGAAGCGGCGCAGGAAGGCGTGCGCCAGTATGCTCCACCCCAGGCTACCTGCACCATAAAGGAGCCTCTGCAGGGCCTAGAGGCGGAAGATGTGGACCTGAGGACTTTAGGCCCTGTCCTCCCTCCTCCAGGGCAAGGTGGAGAACCTGTGCAAAGACCCAGTGCAGTCCTGGCCAAAAGAACTCCAGAACCAGCTTCCGGAGGTTGGCCAGGAAACTCAGGGCCGGGACCAGGGTGTTGAGCCAGTGCCAGAGCATGGACAGTACTAGTTGGTTCAATACCAGTGCCTTCCCTTGGAGTAGTTCCATCCACCTCTGCAGCCGCTCTGATACCCTGCCCTCTAAACCTTGCCAGTTCTCCAGCAGAGACGGATGCGTGGCAGAAAGGTAAATGCTGAGATAGAGCAGCGGATCCGTGCCCTACCGGATGGCCTGAAGCGCAGTGGGGCGAAGCTTGCATGCCACCTGTCCCCAACCACTAGACCAGAGCTCTTGACTCAGTTGACCCAGGCAGAGGAGGCTGCCAAGTAGATGGCCTGGCAAACCTCCACCCGCACCAGGTCGCCCGGGTCCTGGACTGCAAGGAGCACGTTGTCGGCGTATGCCAACAAGACCAGCCGCAACTCTGGCTCTCGCTGCACCAACCCCTTCAACTTCCGGTGGAGCAGACAAAGGAAGAGCTCGATCGCCAGGGCATACAGCTGATCCGACAGTGGACACCCCTGGCGCACCCCTCGCCCGAAGCTGACCAGCTCAGTCAGGGTCCAGTTGAGCTTGACCAGACACTCCGAGGAAGCGTACAGCACCTGAAGAAACTCCACAAACTAGGGCCCGAAACCGAAGGCTCGCAGAGTGCCCAGGAGATACCTGTGGTCCATCCGGTCGAACACCCTCTGCTGGTCTAGAAACAGGAGGTCGAACGACAGACCATCCCTACACCCCAGCTCCAAGAGGTCCCGGACCAAGTACAGGTTATCGAGGATGGTCCAGCTCAGGATGGTGTATGTCTCGTCAGGGTGGACCAGATCCACCAGCACGGGACCCCAGCCACAGTGAGATGGCCTTTGCTACGACTTTCTAGTCCATGCTGAGGAGCGAGATGGGATGCCAATTCCTAAGGTTGCGGGGATCTCCCTTCTTGGGAAACAAGGCGAGCACAGGTGGCCCAGGCCTTCTCTTGGCTTTGAAAAAGAAACCATTCTGGGGGAGGGGAGAAATGGGGGCAGATGTGAGGAACACATTGGGGAAAACAACTCAACCCCGCAAACTCCACCCCAACCCTGGAACGAGAACACCAGTTTTGGAACTCATCTGGCTAGTTATGTGGATATTAGAGAGGACACAAATTTCTCCTTGAACAGATTTCAGTTTCGCACTTATCCACAATGGAACAGTCGTTGAGCCAGACTGAGAGAGCAAGTGACCGGGAATGCTGCTGTAGCCCAGTGGGAGGTGGGAGCACTGGGGTCTGGTCCCTTTTCATTATTTATCCACAACAGAACAGCTTGAATGGGAGAGCAGGAGGAAGCCAAGCATCAGAATGCCCCCTAGCTCAGTGGTTCAAGCATTCTTCTGAGAGATCCCTGTTCATATCCTTTCTCTCCCCCACAGAAGAGAGGGGGAATCAAACCTAGGTCTCCCACATTCCAGGTAAATGCTCTAACCACTGGGCTAAAAGCTCTGAGGTGGACACCATGTTCTGCTCTAGTGGAATTGTGAGTGGGGCCCAAGCCAGTAGGCAGCACACCCAGTGGATTGGGGCCAACATGCGACTTAGGCAGCCAAACGACTAACTTCCCCTGGCTCATGGATCACTCTGGGCTTAGGTGGGAGATAGGTGTCTGGACTCCTAGAGGGAGGCAGCTGTGCACGTACCCAGAGGCTGAAA